AAAGAGCAAGATTTTCATTTTATTTCTCTCTTTCTGACTGCTCCCCTGCCCCATCTCAGTGAGAAAGAGAGAGGGCTCAAAACGTTTGTTCTTCTTCACCCTACTTCACTTGCTGCTAATCTGACTGTCACACACGCGACCTAGTAGATTCGTGTGCATGTGTTCAGGGACCCGATCTCAACAAGGGTGCTTTAAATTTTTTTTGAAACTGGTGTAAATAAAGCTTTTCATCTCCAGGCATTGAAAGTACTGAATAAAACCTACAGTTTGCTTTCTGAGCAGCTTCCTATTATCACTTCGCCACTTAATTTTATTTCTCTTCTCTCCAAGTTAAATAGAAAGACTGGCTCACAGGGGAGCTGCCATGTGCCTGCAGACTGGGGATGTCAAGCAGAGAGGCGCACTGTGCAAAGTTAATTTCAATTCCCGCGGAGGATTTCACATTCGGGCTGGCTCTGACCCACAGTAATTAGCTGAGATAACTAATGATTACTTACTTATTCCTTGTAATTATCTGGATTTAATAATTCGCTGTGTAATTTATTAATTCTCTCATAATAGACTTTCAGTACTGGGAATGGCTTCTTTAAAGGGGCAAGGAGGGAAAATTCAGCAGTATTTTTCTGATTGCCATAAATCTGTCTCCTGACTAGTGTGGACTTCAGGAACATCCAGAAAGCTTTGTCGTCTTTTTTTTTCCTCGCAGAATACCAATCCAACTCCCCCCCCCCCCCCGCTTCAAGTTCAACTGCAAATGTAAACTTCAGTTCTGAGTTCTAATGTGAATCATTTGCCTAGAAACAGACAAATTTCTAATTTTATTGTCATGGCTTACCCAGAAAATTTGGAGTTCAACTTTTTAACAATATGCTTTATAAAATCAAGTGAATTTTTCAATATCTTTTCCACTATCACCTCTGTAGCTTACTCAATCAAAATTAATTGATTTATTGGAAGTTTGAAATAAAGCATTTTATCCTCAAAATTCTAATTCTCTTGGCAAGTAGAGATGTCAGGACTTGATTATATATATATATATTCTTATTTAGTTTTGAAACACATTTTATAGAAAAAGGAAACATCAAAAAGTATGTACATATCAATTATTCCTTTGCTTTTTAATACTGCCCTTATTTTCCCCAAGCAAGATGTCAATGAAATTTAATGACAAAGAATTGACAACTGAGTTTATGTCAGGTATCCAAAAGAAATTCCATTCTTTCTGAATAATATTTTTGTCTAAAGAATACTTAGACACCAACCAAGGATTACCTGATCTTTTCTATTAGTGGCTTATTCCATTTCCATTTGGACTCAAATGATTTATCCAGTTGAGTATTTTGAAAGTCAGCAGCAAGTGTATATTCTTAAAAGACTGTGCATAGTTCCATTCTATTCTTACCTTTAATTTTTTTTCTTTAAGACCAACTCTCTTTTCTCCAAATCACTTTGGCTTTGTTTTTCAACTCTCATTTCTAAAAACTTCCAAAATATATTTCTTTTGAAAATTCTGCTTTATCCACAAATGACACATTTAAGCAGGCTCTGAGAAGAGAAACATTTCAGTCTTGTAGGCAAGAAGTTTTTGTTTTGTTTTGCTTTGTTTTTTGCCCTTGTAACAACAGAAAAGATGAATTTAAAATGTGGTACAGTTTTTTTATATCCAAGAACCTGAGACAAACACACACACACACACACACACACACACACACTTGGTAAATTAGGGTAAAATATAGGTTTTAAGCTCAGCTGTTGAGGCAAATAGAGTTGTTACTACATAACTTCTTCACAAAAATCATAGCCATGCAGGCATGCATTCAAGTTATCATGTGCATTGAAATTTACCAAAAAGAATGAACACCTATTTTATTTTTGTTCAGCATATTTCTCGACTTGTACTAGTTTTACAAGATTTCTGTCTTCCCTCAAAGATGCCATATTTGAAGAAATAAAACAATAGCACAACTTGTCTGTCTTCTCTCCAACTTACTCATCTTTCTCCTAATGTACATAACCTTCTATAAAATAAATACACATGCTCCTTCAATAAAAACCCACATATGGGAAAGGGTAGATATTATTTATTGAAGATCATTTTTATCTTAAATCAGCAAATCTCATGTGCTACACATTCAAGTTATTTCATTATTTTTCTCCACTGTAAAAAAAAGCAAGCAAGCAGAAAGTTCTTGGGCTGGTTAGAACTATTGGAGTAGGGCGCTCCTGTGGTAGCTGGCCATGGTGCTGAAACCAAGACCGGAAAACTGAATCTAAGAATGAGGAAGGAAATGGCCAGGGAAACAATTGGCCTCTAAAACGCAGAAATAAAATTCAATTATCAATATATGACTGTATCTTAACTCACAACTCCTTCTTTTAGAATCATGTGTTTCTATGTTTTCTTATGCATCTATGCAACGTATTTCACTATTTCTAAATGAACTCTTGGATATTGTTCTTCAGGTATCTGCATTATTTCAGTCATAGGGTAAAAAATCCCCCTGCCCATTCACCATCCAACTTTCACCACTACTTTTGTTACAATTGGAAGTTATAATCAGTTTCTAACAATATTTAACCCCAAGTTGAACCACTATAATGATTTTCATTGAGTTCTGGGCTATTTTCTAACCTCTCTCCAAAATAAGAAACAATTTCATATCAGAAGGGTCACGTTTCAAGTTTGCAGAATTACCTCTGGAAGATGACCTGGTTCCTTCCTCTTATTTGATGTAGAGATTAGTATAGTGTTTGCATACTATTACTATGACTAATTGAAAATATAAATATCTAAATCAGAGCCTGACTGGAAAGATCAACTTTCAAAATGTAATGTGTTATTCAGCTATAGTTATTAACATTATTAAAATAGGTTGGGGTGTCTTTAAAGTAGGATCAGAAAAATCAATGTCTGTATCAAATGCACACCATTTCCTTGTGCCAGTACCAAATCAGTGATACAAAGACTTTAACCAGCTCTGGTGTCAGACTGAATCACAGAAAGAAGAAAAATTTTCTGCTTCTCAATCCTCCCCCAACTTCTTCCTGAGCCACACTTTGCCTATTGCACATATTAGTTTTATTAAAGGTCATGGAGGGAAATAGACAAGACAAGATAGACTGTACTTTGTAAGCCAGCAACCAGGTGCTTCCTACAGTGACTTGGGTCATTATAGGAGTGTGAGTGAACTGAGAACTATGATGGGCAAGTCCCTGGTCCTCAACCTCAGGGCTCTCCAACCAGGGCTTGGGACTTGCCACACCCAGTCTTCAGATGCTTCTGAAAAGTAAGCTAAATTCCCTTTTCCTTTTACCCAAGAGATGGCAGGGAGTGGGTTAAATTGTTTCCATTCACTATCTGTTCATAAGGACTCTCTTTGCAGAATCAGTGCAGGCAGGTCTGCAGAAAGGACTCCAAGGGAGACATTTGGAGCCAAATATCACAATTTCATCTGAATATAAGAGCAAAGGACTCTGTGATATGAGGTCTGGATAGTAAGAGGCTATTATAATCCTGCTTTTTTAATGCACTTCCAGAGAAACACCCCCTACTAAGTCCAAACCATAGTTTGATAAAACCACACCCATAAATTATCAAAATGTCCTTCTGCCCTTAAAACTCCCCCTTCAAAGTAATTCCCACATAAATGATTAGAACAGCATCACATTTTAAAAGCCATTTAATATTAATAGCATATTTTAATGAAAAAACAGCATACTTTGCCAATAAAACATTAAAATCATCTCTTCAGTGAAAGACAATCAAACAACACCAAAAATAACTTAATACATTACCATAGTAAATAAACCATCTATTAACAAAACAAGGTCATATACAGAACTCAGGACTTTAGAGAGCCTCGAATGGAACAGCAATACAGCAAAATTTGTAAGAATATATCTATATGTGCGTCATTTTGAATGAAATATTTACAATAGATAAGGTACCAGTCATCATGTACCTATTTTTTGTTCCAAAAAATTCTACCAAACAATGTGAATTTACAAGCAGTGCACTGTCTTTCTTATAGTTCAATTTCATTCTTCTACAAACAAACCTCCAAAAGGAAAAACTGAAGGATTTCTATAACTGTTAAAATGTAGCCAATACAGCAATTGAAAACTGGAAGATTGGAATACCTTGGTGAAATCTCAGAATCTGGGAGGAAAAGCACCAAGTGGAAAATGCACCAAAAGGTAGAAAATGATGCATTAGTCATGTTTCCATTTGCTTCTGCTCTTGGAGATGTGTCTGTGTTTGTGTGCATGTGTGCGTGTGGGGGCGTGTAAGGGTGAATGTGAGATCGCGTGTGTAGTGAGGACGATGTGGGAATCCCCATTAAATATGTAACAAAGTAAACAATACTTTGGACAGTGAATCAGGTCTACACGATTAAGACATCCATTACTGAGGGTCAACTCACAAATCAGAACACTACCAGTAAAAAGCAAAACAGAACAAAAAAGCCAATCTTCATTCAAAGTGAGAATATACAAATGGGCCAAAAGGAACACAGTTTAAGAAGAAAGCTGTAAGTATTCAGTAAACTCATCAAAGAAAAAATTTTGAACATCACTGACTATACGTTTTTCCCCAGTTTTTATTTCTAAATTTAGACTAAAGAAGTTCAATTAATTAGAATGTGCACAAAATTAAGTTGCTAGAAAGATAAATTAATAATTTACAGAGGGTTGTTCGGCAATAATCTAATGATAGCTCTCAAGATCAGTGGACACAGCAGGCGCAATGCCTTTCTTTAGCATTAACACTTCAGAGAAGGAAGAAGGGGGTAAGAACCACAATAAAAATATATGTATATAATATACAGTGTAAATGCAGAAAATCTGCCATCTTTTTTAAAATTGAAAATACTTTAGAGATGTCTCTATCCCATTAAGCATCAACTCTAGTTTAAAGTTTCAGTCTTGAATCAATTTCTATTTCTGAAAAATAGCTGCAAAGTGTACTTTTAAACTTGAACAAGGGTGATGTCTGTAAGAATAAAAACAAATCTTACTTGCTCGATCTTGCGGACTTTTAGAGGCTGTCTTGCTTTCCTGCCAACAGCCAACTCCACACTTCCTGGGAAGAAGCCGAGATGGGGTTAAAAGGGGTAACTTTGCTACAACTTGACAGATCCCACCTCTTTTTTCTCTTTACTTTGAGAAACCTTTTCATGGTTTCACTGCCTCGGGCTCAGTTGCTCACTTGTTCACGCTCTTCAGTCCTCGCGGTCTCGGGGTTCACATTTACCGGAATTGTTTCTGGTCGCCAAAAGTGGAAAGAAAACAGGCAAAAGAGGTGGGGACGTGGAGGGGAAGGGGGCCAGGAGAGGGCTGTCCCTGGAGAGGCCAAGGGCCTCCTAAATGCCGGCGGAATATTTCATTCTTTTCTGTTTCTGCCTCTGGTTGCAGAACCAGACGCGCACCACGTTTTTCTTAAGATCCAGCTTCTCCGCGATGGCGGCGATCTTCTCCGAGGAGGGCCGTGGCTGGATGGCGAAGTAGGCTTCCAGCGAGCGCTTCTCGGGCGCGGCGATGGACGTGCGCTTGCGCTTCTTCTCCGCGCCATTGAAGAGCTCGGGCTTGGTGAGCTTCTCGCGGTGGGACTTTTCGGCCTCCTCGAGCCACGCCTGCAAGATGGGCTTGAGGGCGATCATGTTGTTGTGCGACAGCGTGAGGGACTCGAACCTACAGATGGTGCTCTGGCTCAGAGAGCCCACGCCGGGAATCTTGAGGTTGGCCAGCGCGGAACCCACGTCGGCCTGGGTCACCCCCAGCTTGATGCGTCGCTGCTTGAAGCGCTCGGCGAACGCTTCCAGGTCCCGCGGGTCGGCGTCCACGTCGCTCATGCATCCCATGTGTGAGGGCAGCCCGTGAGCATGGGCCATGCTGAGCGCTGCCTGGTGCATGGGGTTCATCGTGCCCATGTGCGGCGCGTGGGCGGGCGTGGACACCACCGAGCCGTCCGGGCCCGCCATGGCGCCCAGGGCCAGCCCGGGGCTCAGGTGCTCCAGCAGCTCGCCCTCCAGCGCCTGGTGCGGCTGGTGGTGGTGGTGATGGTGGTGATGGTGGTGGTGGTGCGTGCCGGCCAGCGCGGACGGATGCGAGATGGGTACGGACGAGGAGGAGGCGGCCGACGTGCACGGGATGGTGTTCATGGTGTGGTAAGTGGCGTCCGGCTTGAAGGGGCTGTGGTGGGGCGGGTGGTGGTGGTGGCTCTTGCTCTGGGAGACGATGTCCACGGCGGCCAGAGCCTCGGCGCGGGCCAGCAGACTCTCATCCAGCCCGCCGAATATATTGCTCTGCAATTGCAAGTAGAAGGCACACATTACGCTCAGCAGGGAATTGTGCACGCTCTCTCCGGAAGCCCCGGCCCAGCGCTCCACACCGTCACCGCGCCTACCACATTCCCAGAAGGTTATAATAATAACGACAATACTCCTGGAAACAGGAGGTGAAGAGGAGAGAGAGGGATGCCACGGAGAGAAGTCGAGAGTGCGGAAGGAGGAGGAAAGTGAGTCCACAGACAACACAACACAACACAACACGCGCGCAGGCAACATCCCAGGTCATAAAAATTAATATGAAAGGCAAGACCCGCTGAATACCTAACAGAGAGGGGGGGAAATTGGTTGGAGGGGTGGGGGGATTTGCTGTGCAGACATGAAAAAAACATCAAGCAGATAAAGGGGGCTGTCAAAATGTGCCTGTAAGCGGTGATTATGCAGAAATACGCACCGGTGGGGTTGGAAGACAAGCTCTCCGCATCGCCTCCGAGCCTCCGCCGCCTCCGCCGCTGCTGCCACTGCTACTGGAGCTGCTGCTCCGGCCTCCGCCGCCGCCGCCTCCAGCGTTGCTGGAGCTGCTGGGGGAGCTGGCCGAGGGCGCCGCGGGCGCCGAGGAGCCCGGCGAAGCGCTGTGCAGGGCCGAGTACTTGGGCTCCACGTGCAGGCTGCCGCCGTGCGGCATGCTGAACGCCTGCTTGCTGTTCAGCGACATCATCATCATCTTCCCGCCCGCCGGGGCGCTCGGGGGCAGCGAACTCTCCGGCCCCAGCTGCTGCGGGGAGCCTCGCGCTAAGTGCTCAGCCGCCGCGGGCGCGGGAAAGGGCAGCGCAAAGTTGTGCAAAGCCACCGCCGCCTCCAGGCTCCGCACGCTGAGCGGGTGACGCGCTCAGCTCCGCCGCCGCTTCTGCAGTCTGAGCGGGCGCCGTGCTCGGGGTGGCGCGGGCTGCAGACCTCGGCGCCCAAAACTGCCCCGGCTCCTCTCCTCGAGGCCGCGGAGTTATACGCCCCTCGCCCGCCCGCCCCCGCGCCCCTCCTTCCCGCCCCGCTCCTCCGCCCTCCCCTGCCGGGAAGCTCCCGCCCGGCTCTCGTTCACGCCCCTTCTCCCTCTCTGCTCCCCCACCGCCCGCCGGGCTCCGCTCCTTTCCGTTCTCTGGGCCCCCGCCTCCCGCTCCCCTGCCGCTCCCACTGCCCTCCTCGGCCCCGTAGGCGCTCCGATGTGGCCGCCCCTTCGCGGCGCTCCCGGCTCCTCCGTACCTTGGCACCCCTGCCCAGCCGCACCCACCTGGCCGGGTCCCTGCTTCGGTCACCAGGCAGTGCCTACCTAAGGGCCGGCCCCCAGCCCCTCCCACTTCTTCTGAGGGGCCTGCACCTCGCCGGAAGAGAAACTCCGAAATAAAGTTGCGCCCCAGCCAAGTCGAGGTCCAGTGGGCTTTGCCCCGGCCGCTCCGAGTTGCTCTTACTGGCCGCCTCCGCCCTCGCCTGCTGCCTGCCGCTAAGTTCCAGGCCTCCGCCCCCACTCGGCCACCCCCTCCCGAGAGCGCAAGTGACCCCAAGCCCGGGATCCTGGCCTCTGCTGAGATCACAGACCCCGCGGCCAACCCGGGTGCTCAGCGCGGCCCGGAGCTCCCGCCTCGGTGCGCGCGGGGGTCGGCGCTCGGCTTCGCGCCCCCTCGGCCCGGCGGCGCCTGGCGCAGAAAAGACGTGGGTCGGCGGGGCTGCGGGGCTTTCTCTCCCTCGATTTCTCGCAGCTCTCAGCGGATTGGACAGCGGCAGAGCAGGCTCGGGTCGCCAGTGCGCATGCGACTCCCCCCTCACCTCTAGTACCCCCCCCCCGGTCTCACACACACACACACACACACACACGCACACGCACGCACACACACTCCTCTCTCACGCCTCCTTCTCTTCCCTCTTCACGTATCCAGAAAGAGTGAGTACAGTCTTGGGAGGATCCACTGGCAAACCCTGCCTCTGCATTTATTATTCTTCATTAGCTACAATCAAAGGAAAAAGGGGCAACCGACAGAGGAAGAGGTGGGCCAGGAATTACAGAGCGCATGTGCTGCCGAATACCACGACACGCGCGAGCGCACCCTCGGGGGCTGGCGCGGGCCCCACTCATCTCCATTTCCGCCGCCGCTCCGCGCCCAGAGACTGTTTTCAGCCAACGCTTCTCTCACACTTTTGTCCCAGTGCAGAACACTTTTCTCTAGAAGTGGACACACACTCAGTTCCAGTTGCAAAGCGTGAAGACAAGCCCCCCCCACACACACACACACGCACACACTTGTACGAACACAGCGTCTTCTTTCATACCCCTATCTTCTCTCTACTTTCTGTGCTCTGGGGGGCTGCTGTCGCCTTCCTAGAGCGCGGAAGGTGCGGGGCTCAGGCGAGGGTGGGAGGGCCCCGCGATTGGCACGCGGGAGCCCGCGGGTGGCCGGCCCCGGCCGGGGTGACTGGGCGCAGGTGCAGGCGCTGGGAGCTTGGGGAAGGCGAGCAGGTGCGGGAGCGGGCGGCAGGCCTGCCTGAAAGGCGCTGGCGCGCGCTAGGACAAAAAGTGGAGACGAGCGTGGAAAGGAGGGACCCTCGGGTGGGGTGGTCAGCATCCGGAAGCCCCGCGGCGGCGGCTAACAGGGGCCCCGGGTCCACCCCTGACCTCAGCTAGGCGGGACAGCGGGCTCCAGCAGGGAGTGTCGGACTCAGGAGCAGCCTGAGTACCAGGAAGGCTCCGGCTAGGATAGCGCCGTGGGCTCTGTCCGTGGTCCTTAAATCTCTTCAGCTTTCCTTCGTCATTCCCCGGCTTGCCCTTCTCTTCCTCTCCGCGGAGGAAAATAATGGATAGTAGCCACAGGGCATTCCTACAAGCAGTGTTCCCGAGTCGGAGCTTGGAGAAGTCTGGGCACGGGACTGGAGAGGGGTGATGACATGAATGAACGTGGCTGGAGCCGAGCAGTTCGAGTGCGTACGAAGGTGCTTAATTTCTACCTCAACGAGAGCCGGGGTAATTTTCAGGAAACAACAACAACAACAAAATAACATTGTACAGCTCTCGACGTCTCAAGCTTCGCGAAATGAAATAAATCAAAGTTAAAAGCTTGAGTATCATTTAATTATAGTGCGAATAGCGCTTTGAAAGAAGTAGAACAACATCTCTAAACAAATTATGACTGGGCCAGGAAGGAATTATTAGATTGAAATTTCATTTAGGCTGGGGAGACACTCGCTTCACTGTGTAATCTGCTATGCCTCATCTGATTTGTATGCTTAATTCAGCTTGACGAATTTATTAGTTTTCATAATAGTGAAAAAATTCAGCAGCACTATGGGCTAATGCATTGTGTGTACTATAAATTGTATGTCATCGTGGAAAGGCTGAAGTCTATAGAAATCTTTTATTAATGTCGGTGTAAGGGGGGATTTTCGTGCAAGCCTTGGAGAGGTTCATACCAAACTCCACTGCTGCTGTGTCTCACTGGTCCATTAGCATATCGTCATACTAATTAGACCACTTCATCAGTGTTACAATTTCAAACTTCAAATTATGTTCTAATTAACAAGGGTTGTCCAATTTGCTTAATCTTCAAAAAGCTTTGGATGATCTAATTAGTATAAACTGTTGAGCATCTCAAAAGCCTAATAAAAAATCCATCAAACTGTTTTGGGTGTGTTTTCTATCAGTACTATGTGAGGGCCAAAGTGAGAGTAAAGGCAAAAAATAGCAGAAATAACTTCACCTACCTACTTTTCCCAGATTATTATAGTGAGTGAATCTTTTGGATATCACAGCCTCTAAATAGTGTGTTCATGTTTTTAAACAAAGGCACAAGAATGTCAAGAAGAAAAACCACAGGAGGAAAAAAATTCTTCTCTTTCATTAGGTGCCTAATTAGATGTAAAGTAAAAGTAACCCTAAGGAGTTTCCCAAGCATTATTGTGGCAACAGTCTGCTGAACTTAAATTGCAAAATGAAATACTTGGGGTGTTTTGAACCTCTCCCTGTCCCCTCCTTCATGGAGCTTAATTACTTGCAATAGTTGTTTTAATGTATGTTGTCACCTGGGAGTATTGAGAAATGCATATTGTTAATATGAATTAATCTTGATTTTAATAGCAGCTGACAACTGGTCTCCAAAATGCTAAACACTTGTCACCACTTCATAGGGCAAATAAGGTAATATAATAAATTCGTGTAATAGAGAGGGCACAGTTGAAATGATTGGATAAACTTTAGTATGGAATGTACTGACTAAAACTATTTTAAGTAAGAAAGTTCTCGTAGAAATATTTTCTTGACAATTAAAATCCATATGTCATAAATTCACCTTAACATAACTTTCTTTTACCTCTCACGTATTTCTCAGTGATATCTAATTCCAGGCAAGAAAAAAGAAAAACCTTGTGTTCTCATTATCAAGTTGTGATAAATTAATATGTGGTTGTAGGGCAATTCAGGAGTTTATTTACCTGTGTTTCCTTGGGGGAAGAAACCCCCAAGAAAACACATACATTTTTAAAAGTCAAGTCAGAGTTTGAATTCTTTTTCCATTCAAAGTGAGAAATGAACCATGATTATGTTGCATTAGAGGGAAAATACAATTCTTCCTTCATCAGCACCACTTGCAGCCTTGCAATGTTTCCCTTCAGGAGTGTCCAGAATACCGACATCCTTGCAGTGATATCAATAAAACCCATTTCAGTTTTGCCCACAGGCATTGCTACAAAGTGCTCCAGTGAGTGTGAACGCTGCTCTTAGAGGAAGAAAGAGTCCAGCCCCCCCCACCCCCCCAGTTAGCAAAGGCTATCTAAATAACCAGAAAGTTGGCAATAAACCGAGGGGGAAGCAGATGGCCCTGCATCAGATATCTGCTTCCCATAATCCAGTGTACCCTTGCATGCCCAAGCCCCTCTCCACACCTACAGACCTCCCTAAAGGGAAAACGGGGAAGACTTTTTTCTTTTAAAGCAGAGTTAGGGAAAATAGATCAACTGTGTGATTACAGGAGTCTTTCCTCTCACCAAGTCCCTTTGTTTGACAATAGCTTCTGTTCCATCCACTGGCAGAGGCAGGCAGATGTGAACCACTTCCCCCAGGCGAACAGAAGTCCACCGAGGCTTCCTGGCAGTGGGGTCCCTGAAGTAGGCACTCCCCACCCAGAAACTGACCCATGCCCGAAGCCATCCCAAGGGGAGAAATCACTGTCTCCCCTTGTTTCTGGGTCCTAATTTACTATTAAAATTTTAAGCATTGCATTCATATTTTACTGTACCTAATGTGTTTTATTAAAATTTAATCTATTAAGGGCAGTGTGATTTCTTTGTATTTCAAACAGAATTGAATTAGACTACAAGAAAGATTTCTCCAAAGACAGATCTGGCCCTATTGTGCCCCATTTCACTCTGGAGCAGCCAAGAGGTGGTGGAGGAAAGAGGGAAAGGATAGTTTCACTCCATCCCATCGCTGGTGATGTGGGGATTTCAAGGAGGTCACCAATCTGCTTTGGGTTCTAAATAGATGATGAACTCCCAGGGTGCTTACCCTGGACTCTGTGGCAGAATGGGAGTTGGGGGAGGGACGTAGGGGTGAGGACTTAAACTCCTACCCTGGCTGTCCTGGGAAGAAAAAAGAAGAGGAAAAGAGAACTCTTCCCTGTAACTGGGAATTTTGGAGATTCTCAGGTATCCAGTCACAGAGTGAAGTATAGGGGAAACAGCATGCTCTTGGGTTTAAGAGTTGAGATCAGGAACTGGGTTTCAGGAGAGGTTGGTATATTTTCCTCGGACATCTTTCCTCTTCCCAGTATGTCCACCACTGTTCCTACTATTGTCCAACTTTTCCT